ACAGTTGGCCTGAATTTTTAAAATATCTCTTACTTTCCTCTCTTTTGGTCTATTCATATAAACTGATTTTTAAAAAGTCTTTGAAAATGCAAAATGAAGTCATTTCTGTAAGCTTATAAGGCCTGGTCATACTCTAAATATGATGAAAATATCATTTATGATTCTAGTTCTACTTACCTGTCTAACCTAACTTTCTACTATCAGCAATATATATTCCTAAGCTCCAGATATACAAGAAACAATCACACTAAACTCAGTTTAGTTAAGTTATTGCGATGCTATACACTATATAGCACAGAACCTTCTTTAGGAATATCTTTGGGAAAACTTCAACATAGCCTCAATTTTAGGAAAACACATTCCTCTTTTGGAAACCTTGTTCTTACTCTAATAGCCACAGGCTACTTAATATTTCCTTTTTATATTGTCTTATAGAACTTAAAATATATGTAGCTCAGCTATAACAACTTGCACAAAACCACATGTAGTGATTGATCTCTTTGCTACTCCTCCCAGTCTGTCACAAATTAGTTTTTTTATCCCATATTTTATAGCTTGCAAAATCTGCTAGTGATGAAAGTAGCTGAAACAAAAAAGGTAGGGTAAAATAAAGAGCCTACAATTTGTCTATCTGCATGTTTTTTGTCTACTATGCCACACTTTTCAACAGCAAAAATACACAAAATGTTTGCTCATCTCTCCCTATAGCAAGAGGGGTTCAAAGGTTCTCTCTTCTCATATGTACTACTACCACAAAACATCTGGCATAGTTTTATCTTGGTATTTTATAACATGTATTAAAGTATTTATTACCTTTTCCCTTGCAATAATTTGTAAGCAATATGACAACATTCATTTCTGTATCATGCATTATATGTTATACACATCTAATACATTATTGTTAAATGAATAAAATAAAGTACCAATAAATAAATGGATACTCCTCTTACCTCTGCAACCAAACCCTACTTTTACTTAATTACAAAACACAAGTACTGTAGAGGTGCAGTCTAGAGTTACAAGGAGGACAGAGACTTTGAATTTTGGTAGTTAAATATAAATCCTGCTCTAACTCTTTACCAGTTATGTAACTGTGGCAAGTTATTCTTTCTTGGTCCTAAGTGATGTATCTGATTTCAGAAAAATAAATGAAGGTTTCTTAATTCTCATCTGTTAAGTGGAGAGAATTCCTAAAACTTGCAGACTGTAGTTAAATAAAAAGCTAATGTAAAGTTTGTGAAATTGTTCACATTTAACAAGTGGATTTTTAAAACTTTTACTGGGTGTAGTGGCTAGTATCTATGATCTAAGCTATTTGGGAGGCAAAGAATGGAAGCATTATAGTTTGCCAACTGTCCAGGTAAAGTTTACAAGACCCCATCCAGAAAGCTGGATGAAATGGTACATGCCTGTAGTTCCAACTATGTGAAGGGAGTGTAGATAAAAGAAATGCAGTTCAGGGCTGGCCCTAAATGCAAGGTCCTACCTGAAAAATAACTAAAGAAAGCAAAAGGATGAGAGTGTGGCTCAACTGGTAGAGTGCTTGCCTAGCAATATTGTATATATGAGAAACACTTCTATATTAGGAATTAGTCTATTTGGGGTCACTGATAACATATTCCTAAATTTATGAGATCTAAATATTCCATATTTGTCAGTGCTGCACACATATTGTCAAGAGTCTACATTTCACACCAAAGGTAAAAACCAAAGTGTTTTACATATACATACATATGAATATATGTATATATAACATCAATGATGCTAACTGTTGCTGGCTTCTATGTATGTTAAATGCAGTTATGTTCTTCATGCATTCATCTTCTAAAGTGAAAATCTTAGGAAAACAATATACCAAACTGGAATCCTCCAAATTAAAACTGCTATTGATGCTAGTCTTTTGCAGGGTTGTGTCTTTGTGTTCCTAAATGTAATAATAACAGCATGATGAACTGGGTGCCAGTGGCTCATGCCTGTCACCCTATCTACTCAGGAGGCTGAGATCTGAGGACTACGGTTTGAAGCTAGAAGAAAAGTCCATTAAGACTCTTATCTCCAATAAACTACTCAGAAAAAGCTAGAAGAGGGGGCTGGGAAGGTGGCTCAGTGGTAGAGCGCTTGCCTTGCATGCCTGAGGTTCTGGGTTCGATTCCTCAGCACCACATAAGCAAAAAGAAAAAAGCTGGAAGTGGCGCTGTGGCTCAAGTGGTAGAGCGCTAGCCTTGAGCTGAAGAGCTGAGGGACAGTGCCCAGGCCCAGAGTTCAGGCCCCACAACCGAACCAAAAAGAAAAAGCTAAAAGAGGCATTTTGGCTCAAGTGGTAAAGTGGAAGCTCAGGGACAGTGCCCAGGCCCTGAGTTTAAGCACCAGGATAGGCAAAAAACAAAGCAAAACAAAAAAAGACAGCTTGATGATGTGATGATACTAATAATGTCCATCATTATTATCCTAAAATGCTTATTAAATCAAAATAACTAGACTTTTATGCAGTTGATAAA